CGAACGAGCTGAGGAACAAGAGGGTAGAGTTAGTGAAGGTGCAGTGGCAGCACCGCAAGGATTCAGAGTGGACGTCGGAGCCCGAGGAGGAAATGAGGGAGCACTACCCAAAGTTGTTTTCAGAGACAGCAGATTTCGAGGACGAAGTCTAAGACAAGCGGGGGAGAATTCTAACACCCGGTCTCAGGTACGCATTTAAATCCAAGCCAAACTTCATATTTTACCCTTGGACTCGGTGAGTTGGAGGCCCAACTCGTCGAGTAGGATCGACTCCGGTTCGGGGGACTATGTGACCTACTTGACGAGTCGGAGGACCGACTCGACGAGTAGGAGCTGTCTGAGTGAAACCCTAAATTGGAGGGTTTGCACCATATTTAAACATCTTATGAGGCTTCCACCCCAGCCTCCATCACCTTCAAGCTCTGTCCTCGAAACCCTAATCAATTGTGAGAATTCTTGAGCAATTTGTGCCTTTCCTTGTGATTTGAAGTTAGAATAAGGAAGGGAAAGCTTGGTGAGTCAAGAAGCAAGTCAGTGGATCCAGAGTTGTGGTTGCACTTCTAGTTATTCGAGGTAAAGAGCTCCTATCTTGACTCCTTATTTGGTAGATCTACTTTGGGGCTTGAATCTTGACATCTTTGGGGGCATTTCCAAGCCATTTCGGATTGTAGAGTGTAATATAGGGTAAATGCTTCAGATCTGGAACCTTGGAGGGTTATCATGGCATAAAGGTGCCAACTTTATGGCCATGAGAACCCCATACATGTAATAAACCCTATTTTTCGTCTTTTGAGCTTAAAGGTCCCATGCATGGACGTAAAGTTCATGACTTTACGTGTTATATCGACCTTAGGAGCCCAGATCTACCCTTTGGATGAGATTAGCACAACAGAAATCGAGTTATGGGCATGGACATTAGTTGACTCGACGAGTCGTTCATGGGACTCGGCGAGTCGGGGGTTTGGGTTCCCCAACCTTTTCTGATTCGAAGGGATCTAGTTGAGTCTAGAAGGGGTCTAGATGAGCCCAGAAGGGGGACTCAACAAAATAGATGTAGTTATGGACCTGGAAACCATGGGACTCGGCGAGTGGATGAACACACTCGGCGAGTCCAAGGCAATATCCCAACCCATGAAGACGAACTCGACGAGGGTGTTCATACAACTCGGTGAGTCACAGACTAGTCACACTCATATGATGAAGATGAACTCGACGAGTTCAAGGATGAACTCGGCGAGCCAGATGAAGATAGTCCCGATGTTATGATTGAAGGAGAACTCGTCGAGTTCTTTTCTAGACTCGACGAGTAGAGTCGGGGTTGGGAACAAATGAAAGAATAGGGACTCGACGAGTTGGCGAACCAACTCGGTGAGTCAGGTCAACTGGGTGTTGACTTTGACCAGGGTGTTGACTTTAGCCAGGGGTAAAATGTTCATTTTACCCTAAGAGTAGTTATCAGTTTTTGACTAAGTACCTTTATGGAAATTTATAGCCGGAGAGTCGTCGGAGCAGCAGACAGAGATTCCTCACCCAGAGTTGCAGCAGTCAGTCACACGAGGTGAGTTTTCCTCCAGTAGGAACGGGTCTAAGGCACCAATGCTGGCCCATTTAAGTAGTAGAGTATGTCGGGGTGAGCCCGATGTCGGGGTTAGCCCGATGCAGTTTATATGTTTCCGGACTTCGGTCCGATGCCGGGGCGGTACTGAGAAGTAGTTAAGTATGCTTGATGTCTTTATGATTCATGCATGTATATGTGTTATGTGTTATGTGTCCCGGACTCCGGTCCGATGTCGGGCAAGCCCGATACAGTATATGCGATTATGTTTTATGTTATATGTTAAGTGTTTCGGGGTAAGCCCGATGTCGGGGCAAGCCCGATGCAGATTATGTGATTATGTTATGTATGTATTGGGGTAAGCCCGATCCCGGGGTGAGCCCGATGCCCGATGTGGTCGGATGTCGGGGTGAGCCTGATGCCCGATGCGGTTGGATGTCGGGGTGAGCCCGATGTCGAGCAGGAGTCCGATGTCGGGTAAGCCGATGCTGGGATTCGTCCCGATGCAGTTGGGAGTAGTCCCAGGGTTATGTTATTTGTTATATGTGCTTTGTATGGTATGTGGTAGTTTGGGGGAGCTCACTAAGCTTCGTGCTTACAGTTTTCAGTTTTGGTTTCAGGTACTTCAGCTAGCAAAAGGAAGGGCTCGAGGTGATGGCATAGCACACACCACAGTTTTATTAGCCCGGGAGCTTACTCTGATATTTTTATATGAGACAGTTATATGTTGACAGATTTTATGAGATTTTGAGATACATGTTTGATGCTTTTATTTTATGGTGATAATATTATGTTTGTTAAATGATTTTAAAAACGAAATTTTTGGCTTGTATTTTTGGGATGTTTCACCAAACCATAAGGAAACACGACCTTGCCTATCTCTCGTTATCGATTATGTCTAGCCATGTCTGACAATCATCGTTCAGTGCACGACATAGCCTACCCAAGCTTTCTTTAAAATCAGACTCTCGGTAAGCCTTTGCATCCTCCCAGAACAATATATTTGTTATCTCTTGCTTGCCGATCTTTACTCTCATATTAATAAACAAATGGCGACAACAGAGTCTGTGATATGCATTCGGGAACACGACTTGAATGACCATTTTAATTGAAATTTGCTCTATCTGATATGATAACCAAAGATAGCATGTCCCCAATACATTCTTTGAGTCTTGATAAAAACCAAATCCATGACTCTCCACTTTTAGTTTTCCCAACACCAAATGCAATAGGGAGGATTTGGTTATTAACATCCATGCCTACTACTAGGAACATGGTGCCCAAGTATTTTCCTTAAAGGTGTGTGTCATCAATGATAATAACAGGACACAAACATCTTTGAAATGCTCGAACCTATAAAGTAATTTATAATCTAATTAAAGCGAACACATCTGTATGAACATTAAATATAAAGAAGTAGGTATATAAAATATATTACCGCATAACCGATAGCCATGGAAAAGTATTCAAATTTGTTGTCATCACTCGTCTTTATATGTGTAGCCGTCCCTGGATTCTTCTTCTCTAAGTTGTAATAGTATAAAGGTAGTCTTAGAAAGCTTTCTTCAAGGGTCCTTCTCAATAGATTTAGAGCATACATTTTAGCATTCCATGCTTGCCAATATGAAATATGTACACATAGACACTCATTTAAAGTTCATTGTATCTGTTTCCACCACAACATATTACCGGTACTATCAGCTAATATGCCCTTCACTAAGTGACCCAATACCTTTTTGTTGGCTTGTCGATGATGGGGACGTAGCTGTGTGTTTGAGTAAGTGTGTTTCTCCGATGTCTTAACCATTTGAAATGTATCAGTAGTATTATGTTTTGTTTCCCTAATCCGCCAGTCATAATTATCCATATAGCAAACAGCTTCAAACCTGTCTTTTGTAGATTTTTTCACTTTATATTGGAAACCTTCACTAACAATTTGAATCCTAAATTAAGCTTAAGTGCTTATTTGCTTTTTAATATTTGGTATAACTTCAGATAGGAATTATAGTTGTGCGTTGTGGCCCCTTTATAATTTTGTTGAGCTAATTCGGGCAGTAGTAAAGGTTCATGCATACCCGAATGGGTGGGTTGTGTTTCTTCAAAATCAGAAAAATAAAAAGGAAACTTTTGTTGTTGTGCTTTTCGGGGTTGTAAGGGATCAGTTTACTCCTCTCCATCTTCATAATCATCCCTATCAAATTCAGTGTAACTTTGAAAAATGTTCAACTGGCTCTCCATGTGGAAATATATTACCATCATCAACCAACATCATTAGTTTTACCTCATCATTCACAGATTCACCAAAATTAACAGTAAGGTCAGCATGAACAACAGTCTTACCTTTAGACCTATAATCACCCCCATGTATAGGGTCATTGTAAGAAGGAACATGGTTGGTTGTCATAAGTAATAAATTACAAATTTGGTTACTTCCAACATCGGAAGAACCATTTCCAGTATGATTTTCCTCAGGAAATCAATTAGTACCACTTTCCATAACATTATTAACAACAAACAATTGCACTGTGTTGGGAGGCAAAGTAGTAACAAAACTAAGAAAATATATGACATCGTTATCATCAAGAATATGCATAACTATATTTGATCTAGGACATTGAAAAGATAGACGAATTTGATTAGTGTGTAACCTGGAATTGGAAGCAACCAACGTAACTACCCCAACGAAGATGATATCATTGTTTATATCGACACCAAAGCATGTGTAATCTGGAGCAAGATACTGCATACATCCGTCGATGCGCTGCCATTGCCCTCCACTAGAAATGGGTACTCGAAAAAAACCCATATACGTATTCATTCCGGAACGTTTTTGGAAACTATCAAACACACAAATGTATTGCATATTTGGAACAAAAACATATAAAAACCCTAATTCTAGCTCTCCGGAATAACACTCTGGAATGTACGGCCGTTCCAGACTTCAGTCCGGAATACACTTTTTCAGTCCGGAAGGTACGAAGTGTTAGATTTCGGACCAAATTTCCACCAACCGGCACCCACTTCGGAACAAAATCGTAAATACTCCAGAAATATCGTATTCCGGATCATAAGTCAAGAACAAAAGTACTCCTCCAGAATATGATATTCAGGATATGTACTCCAAAAATATATTTTCAATCTATAAACCATAAGGACCGATGTGTAATTTTGTCTTTACTCTAGAAAAATATTTCCTATAAACCCGTCACCGAAATGTGTGACGAAACCCCGTTGAGGCCGGCCAAAAAGGAATCGCAAAAGAATCCCGGAACACAAACGTACACCGTGAGTGGGAAGAGGAATGGATTCGTCAATTGCTTAATATCACTTGCAAAACCGGTCGATCTTCACACACACACACACACATTTGATCGTCATTCGCCGTAGAACGGAAATCAGGTACACAGACGGACACAAGCATACACGCTTCATATAAAGTCCGGTGATGGCGACGACAATGGAAGGGCAAGATAGAGTTCTAGCCACAGCTCAGCAAATTGTAAAGAGTCTAAACATGAATACACAAGCAACGGAAGACATGATCTTGATCCTTTCTCGATTTGATAATCGGTTGTCAAACATCTCCGATTTGATGGACGGCAGTGCCGATGATAGCAAAACTAGGAATCAATTTGATAGAGCCGAGAAGATTATTCTTGAACACGATCCAGGCGGTGCCAGTAATCCGTCGTCGAGGAATTCGTTGCCGTGGGAGGAATGTCCTGAAGAGGCTTCAGAGTACTTGGCCGCGGTTGATCTGATTATTCAGTTGACGGAAGGTCTGAATGTCGAATCGGAGGAAGACGACGACGTCATGGATCGAGCTGAGAACGCGCTGCAGTTGGCTATGTCGAGGCTCGAGGACGAGTTTCGTCATATTTTGATCCGTAACACTGTTCCTCTAGACGCAGATCGGCTGTACGGATCTGTCCGTTCAGTTTCACGCTCCTTTACCTTCAACAATGGCGAAATAGGAGACGCAGTAGAGAGTTTTCGAGAGGACGAACAAGAAGGGAGCGGCTATCATCACGAGAGAGGTGCAAGCTTAGGCGGTGATTTTTGTGTGGATTTGATTCGTGTTGAAGCAATAGAGGAGCTTAAAGACATCGCTGATCGGATGATTAGGTCAGGCTACGAAAAAGAGTGCTGCCAGGTATACAGTAACGTCCGCCGTGATGTCCTGGATGAGTGTTTGTCGATTCTGGGCGTGGAAAGGCATAGCATCGAAGAGGTACAGAGAATTGAATGGAAGATTTTGGATGAAAAAGCCAAGAAATGGATCTTAGCTATCAAAGTTGTAGTTAGGGTTCTCTTATTTGGGGAAAAGCGTCTATGTGAACAGGTCTTCAACGAATCAGAACTTATTCAAGAACTCTGCTTTGTTGAAACGACAAAAGGTTGTGTGATGCAGCTCTTGAACTTTGGTGAGGCAGTAGCCATTGGTGTAAGATCTTCAGAGAAACTATTTCGAATTCTTGACATGTACGAAGTTCTTGTAGATGCTTCACAAGATTTAGAAGCTTTATATGACTCTGGAGAGTTAGTTTGCAGCGAAGTGAAGGGAGTTTTGAAAGGACTCAGCATGTCAGCTGTAGGGACATTTGTTGAATTTGAGAAAGCTGTAAAGGCTGAAACCTCTAAACCTATCCATGGTGGTGACATTCATCCAATAACCCGTTATGTCATGAATTACATGAAATTACTAGTGGATTACAGTGACACATTAAACTCCCTCTTGCCAGATGACTCTGGTTCATCACAAATTGACAATGGTGAATGTGTTGCAGCTATCTCCCCTATTGGAACCCGTCTACAGTTACTGATCACTTCTTTGGAGTCAAACATTGAGGAAAAGTCAACATCGTATGAAGATGGTGCAATGAGGTACATATTCTTGATGAATAACATTCTTTACATAATTCAGAAAGTGAAAGATTCAGAGCTTCGAACACTCATGGGTGATCAATGGATTCGCAAACGACGTGGCAAGATTCGTCAATGGCACACAAGTTATCTGAGAGCAGCATGGAGCAAAGCTTTGTTGTGTCTGAAAGATGAAGGAATTGGTGGGACTTCAAGTGCTTCCTTCAAGGTGATTCTTAAAGAAAGATTTAAGAACTTCAATTTGTGCTTTGAAGATATTTATAGGTTACAGTCAGCTTGGAAGGTTCCAGATAATCAACTAAGGGAGGAACTTAGGATTTCTATATCAGAGAAAGTTCTTCCTGCATATCGTGCTTTTTTGGGGAGATTTGGGAGTCAATTAGAGAGTGGAAGACATGGAGGGAAGTATATAAAGTATTCCCCTGATGACTTGGAGAATTATGTGATGGATTTATTTGAAGGGAAGCCTTTTGTTTTGAATAATAATATCAAAAGAAAAAGTACATAGGATGGATGCATCACTCTTGCAAGGTATGTCTCATGCTTTCATGGTTGCATATTTATTTACTTTGGTAATTTGGTATTAATATTTTCCCTTTTCTTGTGTATTTACAGGTTCAAGACTTGTCAACCTTTCTGCTGATCAAGAAAAAGAAAAAAAAAATAGAATTTTGATACTAACAGGAGCTGTTAGCCTGTGACTGTGAAAGCATATTTTGAAAAAGGAGAATATTATAATAATATTTTTGAACTATATTATCTTGCACTTGTTGACAACATCTGCATATTATTAAGGCTATAGTGTTCTACATGACCACCCTGAGATAAGAGTATTAAAGAAAAATGAAATTATCCATCATCCAAAAGGCTTCATTTTTCAAAAAATGACATTATACAGTTGCATGAGTATAAAGTGTCAATGAAGGGGTTGAGGGTCTATGTGGTGCATTTGTTGATATTTAGAGTCTTTTTACAAATGCAAACTTCTGATTTGAACCATATTTTTATACTGAAAAAAGTTTGAAGGAAGGTTTAATTAAATGGACAAGAATCTATATGGTGCATTTGTTGTTTTCCCCCCTGCAAAATAGCAATATACTTTGGATTTCATTACTACAAAAATTAAGATGTATTGCCTAAAATAGAAATCAGTTTCATAGAAAACATAAATTCCTTATGAATGAGATTAAAAAAAAAAAAAAAAGTAAGTTGTTATTTTATGTGATTTGCCTTTTCAAAAACCAATCAAGGGAAGGCAACTAGACACTTCTTTTAATGGTTTCTGTTCATTTTTTGGTTCTTTCTTCTTAGAGCCAAATCAATTCTTCTGATGGTTGGTTGTTCACTATTTTTGTACCTGAGTTTTTTTTTTTAAAAGAACCATAAACCACTTGTTTGTCTATTATCGTGTGTGGCCTTTCAAAGTTTTTGCTTAAAAAGAGGTTTGGTACATCAATCCCTACACATTTGGAAATTTTCAATACTAATAGAGGGAATTTACTTGTTTACATGTGATTATGAAGAAAATCAGTTAAAACAGTTGTTACATTATATATTTTATTGAGAATTAGAAATAATGCAAAACTGAATTGATTTTACATCACAAGCAAAGACAAGACCCCTTGAAAACAAAAAAAAAAAAAAATAGATACATGATATGATACATACCAAGTTCAACAAAGCTTACAAACTCAAACAGATTAGCACTCTTGTTAGACACGACACATCAAACAAACAAACTTTACTAGAAATACAATACAAGTGAAAGTTAAACTTAAACCTTAAACCCGGCTGTTGGCAGGCAAAGGCAACACCCCATCAAAAAAGTCACCAAAGTAACCACGTGGCTCATGCACAATCCTTGAGATTATATCTCTAAGTGTTATCACACCTTCAAGATCACCTTCTTCATCCACCACATATATACGATGTATCTCTTTCGAATCAAGCTTCAAAATCACTTCTTTAAGTGTATCATCTTTTCTACAAGTGATCATCCCACTAACCAAAGGCGACGCCTTCTTGTTCTCTTCTAAATACCTCTTAACTGAGGTCACAAAGTTCTTAGCAGTGATGGATCTGCCAAGTTATAAACAAATCATAATAAATATTGGATCACAAAATTAAATTAAGGATTTCAAAAAGAAAGAGGACACTAACCTGTAATCTTTGTAAATCTCAGGGGCGATTAGGAGGAATTGAATATCTCGGATGCTAATATTAGCAACCGGTTTGTTTCCATTAACAACCGGTAATCCACCAATTCCTTTCTGTCTCATTAGTCTAAAAGCCTGCAACACTGGTTCATCTTCATCCACTTTAATAACTTCACTGGTGTTCATCAGGGGAAGACCAAGTTCACATAACTTTTTAGATCCCCAGCTTTTAAACCATTGTAGATCCGCACATTCTTCCAACATGTGAATCACAGCAGATTGGGTGATGATGTTGTGGATCTTTCCATCACCCGGATCCACTACTGGGACGCTTTTCATTCTGTACTTTGAGAGGAGTAAAAGCATGGTGAGAAACGAGTTTGATGTTTGTAATGCCAGAAATGGGGCCCATCGAAATGATCCTGATATGTCTTTAACCTACACGAATATGAAAAGGGGTTAAATGCGAGAAATAGCACAACCCATATGGAAGAAAAGAAAGAATGTTGACCTTTGTGTTTTTATAGAAGTCCGAGGAAGTTAATAACTCGAAAAAGTTTCCAGCAGTTTTTGGAGATTCAGGCTGTGAGCTTCTATATCTTGGAGAAGACATCCCACCAGCTGCTGCAACAACAGCAGGTCTCAGAGAGTTGTCTAATGTGCTTGAGAATACATCGGATCCATCATTCTTTTCTGACTGTATGATATTAACACAGATGATGTTTAAAATATATTTGAGAGAAAATGATGGTGAATTTGAAGGAAACAAGTGTGCAAACCTGATGAAGAATCCACACGACGATGCCTGCAAACTCCACCATACCAAGATATCTGTCGATCCAACTAGCATCCTCTGGTGCATCGACGTTTACAACAGGCGCACTAAGAATTTTGTTTTGGGATAACAATCGGACAGCTTCACCCAGACTTGCATCCGATTTAATCTCAATTACTGCAAAAAAAGTCGTTATGAATTTAATTTCTGATATCAACAGCGATCAGAGGTACACGCACACCACTACGTTTGACTGATTTGTCTAATCGATTGCTTAAAAGAAGATGGGAATTATGAGAATAGCTGTCGATCGATTGAAATCTGGAATAGAATTACACATAAATCATCTCGATTTGTTCTCAGCATAAATCTAAAACTAATTTCAATCAGGTACGATTGGCCGTATGCTATGACTTTCAAACACAGTAGACGATAAGAACGATGAGAAGCACGCTACTACACTCAACTAACTAAATATGGTAATTATGACGCATATTGCGTAAAAGACAATAGGAAATTAGGAACTAAATAAGTATCAATCAACTAATTACACATAAAATCCGCAATATGAGACCAATCACACAGTCGTCGCTGTAACCATATGATCTAATCCGTCCTATATAATAAAGAACGATACGATCATCCAAATAGGTTTAAATCAACGGATGTATATGCGATATCAGGGCCAATCGGAATAAGTAAAATCAATCAAAATCAAAAGAATTAAGCAAAGATACCTTGTGAAGGCGAAGCATGAGGGAATTCAGAAACAGGAATACTCTCGAAACAAGCGTTGAGCTTCTCGGTCGGAGTAAGCTGAGCCTCCTGTATGTCCCACAGCTCCTCCAACTCCATCCCGAGCTTCGCCTCTGGACTCCTTGGACTTTCTTCTTCTATCACCATTTTCTCTCTCTAGAGCGATCGATGAAGTGATGACTGAGACTAGCAGCAGATGGTTTTGTATTATTTGCACACAGACAATGGGATGTGTTATAGTACATCTGTACGGCGGCTGTTATTTGCAGTTATTAATCTCAGCCGTTGATGGCAGTTAATAAGTGACGCGTGTAGGGTACAGATGAGAGTCAAAGTTGTTGACGTTTACTTGGCATTTGCTTGCTTATCCGATTGGACCATGATCCAAAATTTATTATTTTTAAAATACAAAAATATATTGAAGAAGACAAGTATCCGAAATTCAATCATGTTCACTGTCCCACTCTAACATGCGCCAGAGCGCTGTATCTGCATCTCACTTTTGACGTGGAATTAATAGCAAACCTATCTCATCTTCACTTTACATCAATCCTTTTCATCTTTCAAAATAGGGTTTTTTTTAACACGCACATTTCTGTTATACCTACCACATAGCACATATGTTGTGGATGTCACATCATCACCACATTCTCCTACCACTAACATGTGATACTTACTACTAACACACCATTTCATCTTATTTTTTATTTAAATTTAATTCAAAAACACAATATTTTTTTAATTAAATTTAATTCAAAAACATAATAAAACATATTTTTTTTTTAACTTTTATTCAATGAAACATGATTAAATTAATTTAAAACACACAACATAAAATAAAAAAAACAGAAAAAAAAGCATAAACATACAACCACAAACAACTTAAACTATTTTTTAAACCTTATTTTTAATCATTAAATTTTGGACACTCTCTCAATTTTCGCCAAGCTTTGACGTGTTTAAACGGTGTGTGTTTTGTGTCTTCATATTGGTGCATGGTCACAGCAAACGGGCCGCCTTCGTGTACGTTGTTTATAACAAAGTTATAAATACCATTGAATTCAAGACATTTAGCCCTTCTTGTACGTTGTTTCGCCAAGCTTTGGCAACCCATTAAATCATGGAAAACGTTTTCAACTTTTACCCAAAAATTAGGAGGCGTTACTGGGTCTTCTGAAGCCGCTATCCATACTCGTGCTAAGTTATCTTCTTCATTTTCTGACCAATTCATTCTTATAGGAGTCACTGGTTTTGAAAGAATGCAAAAGAAGTGTGAGATTGTGTAAGAAAAAAAAAGAAGAAATTGTGTGAGTATGTTTAATAGAAAGTGTAGTATTTATAGGAGTCATTCGGTTTGGGGCCTGTAGGACTACCTGTGAGAGTGTAACATCTCAACCGTTAGGTATTATTAATTTTTCCATTTAGACTTCATGTCTAAGGTCTACTCAACGAGTTGGCGCTTGACTCGTCGAGTAGCAGCGGGCCAGGACACGTCAATTAATGAATGACTCGTCGAGTCGGCATGAGGGACTCGACGAGTAGGAGCTGGCAGTGGAAACCCTAATCTTCAGGGTTTTGCACCATATATATTGGACCATTAGCGCCTCCCACTGTCCTCTATCACCCTCTTGAGACCCAGAAACCCTAATTTCCATGAGTGAGAGCTTGGAGAGTGTTTTGGAGCTTTGGGAAGTGACTTTTGTGAAGGAAATTTGTAGATCAAGAGGCTAGCATCAAGATTTCTGTGTGGATCCAGAGTCTACTTCAGTTTGGGCACGTTTTGGAGGTAACCAGCTGTTACCTTAACCTCTTTTTCTTCTAGAATCATTCATATGTGGAAACTAGGGCTTTCTTTAGTTATTCATGAAGGGATTTTGGTATGGGAGCTAGATCTGAAGTTGAAACTTCAGATCTGAACCTCTTTTGAGTCCTAAGTCCATAAAGTTTCCAGCTCTTGCAAGGATGAGACACTCCTATGGTGTAAAGCTCCATTAGAAGCTTAGATTGGTCATTTAGAGCCTTTAGGGCCTTGCATGCGTGTAAAGTTTGCAACTTTACGTGATAAACATGCCTTAGAAGCTTGGATATGTAATCTGGAACCTTGGC